CACAGCATTTCTCCCAGCTGGCTAACATCTTTAACTCTCTAACTATCCCAAGGATATGCACTTCTATTCTTTGTTTAACATATCACTGGATAGATTGTACAGATCACCATAAACAATAAAGGACCCAGCCATTCATGTAATTTGGGACAGCTATTGTTTAAACACTTCCATGGACCTGAAGCTAATAGTTAAAGGCTGTTGCTTAAAGGTTCCTATAGGGTAACTAATGGAACGATAATTAGAAGTTAATGGATACATTAATTCAGGAGTTGCCAAACTTTTTTCCCTGAGGCCCAGCTGTGCAGCAGCAATATGCACTGCAATCTACAATTATCAACTTATTGAGCAAAATTATGAATTTTAATAGTTACATACATATAAATGATATAACTGTAAATAAGCAATGCGCATGTTTCCTTTTCATTTTAATGTAAACAATTGTGATAATAGAAATTTATAGCAGTGTTTATTCAAAGAAATGCAGCAAGATCTTTGAAACCCAAGTGTTAGTAAATGACACTTTAAAAATTTCGAGAGCACAATGCGGTGTTCAGACAGTGAAAACACAATGTAACGGTGTACAATGTATAACATGAACAATAAGCAACACAACAAGGTTAATAACATTTTTAAAAGAACACATTGGATTATTTGTTGATTTTAAAACAGTAGTAGTTCTTCAAGGAGTGTCTCTGTAGGTGCTCCACCTTGGGTGTCTGAGTGCCACCGTGCTTCTAATTGGAGATTTTAGGTAGCAGTGTCCACATTCAACTGTGCATGTGGAACCGCTGCAGTGTGTTATTTGAAATGGCTACACCACATGTGCAGCCAAACGTCCCTTGAAGTCCTTCTCTTCCACCAACAGCTTTGGTCAGAATCCAGCAGTTGCCCTCAAGCATTAGTGTTAGCATTTTAGATGATTATTAGTAGCAGTTTTTCCTGTTTCTTCTCTTGTTTAAAAATCTAGTTAGCAGTAGTGTAGTTATTTAAAGAAATATATAGGACAACTAGAGTAGTTAGTTCTAGTTCTAGGCTGCTTCTTCTTCTTTTGAATGTCATGTTCAATGCTATATTTCTTCATCAAAGTTGAACAAACAAACTCCCCAGCCAGTGAACAGCATCGCTGGTTAGATTGTGGATATCCTCCAATGAGCCAGTGAATTTTCATGTTGGGCATTCCACAACAATGTGATGCATAGTTTGCGGACTGCCACAATCACAAAGTGGAGATGGCAACAAATTCCACTTATGGAGTAGATAACCACACCTTCGCTGACCAGTTCTAGGCTTTAAAGGTTCATGCATTCCAGTAACTGTTTGGGGGAGGGGGTTCCCCCGGGACATGCCTGGTTCACCTGGCTTCAAAAAGTGTATAACCTGTGGGCTGTCCATTTCTGTCTCAGACAGATATTCCTAGTGTGTCCGCTGCTTAGGGTGGAGCACTCTACCTCCCAGTGTCTCCATTGCAAGAAACTAACATCAAAGACATGGAAAGCCAAGGAGCTACAGGTGAAAATGATGCTCCTTGAGGAAACAATCTGACCTGCTTCTGACCCGGACACACTACAAAACCTAGGCAGCCATCTCCTGGTGAGACCTCTAAGAGAGTGGGTGGGTCTCTCAAGGTCAAGCTGCAAGGACACTGACAGGGCTCAAGTGAACAAATAAGAGATCCCACTCTTCTTCAGGGGCTGACTCGCCCTTGAGGAAACACGTTCTGCATAAGAAAGCTGCCCCCACACATGCTGCACCAAAGATGCTGGAAAAACAAGCTCTAGTGGATCTGGCAATGACAAGGACCAAGACTTAAGGAGAAGGCTCAACCCTCCTCCAAGGCATTGACAGAGGCAAAGTAAAAGCCTTTGATATAAGCACCAACCAACATACCGTGGGCGCTGACCAGAGCACTGACAAGACATCATTAGGCATCAGCACTAAACGCTACCATCCCACTGTCTATGGCACTGTCGGCACAACCAAAATATCTGGCATCTTCAGAGCATGCGAAACAAACCGCACCCTCAGTCCTTGCTAAGCATCAGGCACTGGCAATTCAGCCTACATTGCCGAAAATTGCTATGGGACTGGCGTTATTGCTTTCCACGTCGGCACCACAAATATTCACCACCAGTGCTGATCTCATGGTCTTCTCAGAGCCAGGGATGCCAATGGCACCTCAAACATATCCCGTTTTAGTTTGTCATCTACTTTAGTGGTATCATAGAACTGGAAGGACCTTGAGAGATCATCAAATCCAGTCCCCTGCCCTCACAGCAGGACCTAACACCAACTAGATCAGACGTAGCCAACCCGCGGCTCTTTCCCCCCATCCGTGGGGCTTTTGCTAGCCAACCCCAC